TCTACTGTCTTATAGGGGGTCGACTGTATACACAGAACATTATGTACAAAACTTTCATTCACAATATGTAGCAATGTAACAGTTTAATTAAACAAATCTCTATTTAAAACATAGATAAACTAAATCGAAAATAAAATTATTTTCGATTTATTTACATCTTCATCTGTAATTTTAAATTATTCTTTTTTAAATTTTTATAAAGATTAAATATATTTTCTAACAAAATAAAATGTTTTTCTTCAGTTTCTCAAGAGTCGTCTGCTACAAATGTAACAACGCGTTCCCAGAATAAAGACGAGGGAGTTTCGAGTGACTCCGCAGAACAATTTATTCTTTCTTATATTAAAGCTGGAAAATAAATTTGCTTAAACTACAAGCTTCTTCTGATAAGTTAGTGTAAGGTTGGTAACGGGGGTGAAAATGTCAAGAGGGTCGATGGGTCGCGAAGGGTTCGTATGTGGGCGATCGGCACTGAGACATACTTTACGGTTACAAGAAACTGTTTATTTGACACGAAAAAGGCTTACAAGATTTCCGAGATCTTGGAAGTTCTAAGTCGGCAGCGGCCTCTGAGTCTTACTCTCCTTTCCTAATGAAGGAGTGTCCCTGGTGAAGAACAGATCTCTCAACAACTCCGGGACGATGCGCGGTCAACTTCAGGTGATGGGAAGTTGTCGATCCGAGGACGGGAGACAGAGACGAAAATGGGCACGACACACACGGTCCGACACTTGGAACTTTCGGGAGAACAGACCGTCGCGTTCTTGAATTTCCGGTTTTTATTAATTTCCGTCTCCGATCGTTCATTCCCATTGGTGGCTTTTCCTCGTTCTCGTTTTCTAAGTGGTTGATCACTCGTTATTATGTGTAACGAGATCTCAACTTAGATCTTGAGAGAGGTCAAAATCGAAGTTTAATTCGATCTTCAACGGGAGATGGTCAACTTACATTATTCTATTGTTTAAAGTTCGCATCGCATTTTCATACAAAAACCTATTTAACTTCTATTTTAAAAAAAGAAAAATTATTTTAATGCGAATTTCAATGACTGTTAGGACCTGTCCAGACCATCACATTAGAAACCCTTTTAGAACAACTTGCGAATATCCAGTCGTGAGTGAAGAAGATCGATACTTGTAGAATTGGATTTTCGACTCTCGGAACTTGAAGATGATAAAAAAAAAATTAGATGGTTACACTAGTTCAAAAATAATAATGCCTTTGAAAACAAAAACCGTTGCTTAAATTTATTTGAGAGAGTGTCAAAGTTAGAAAATAAAGAAAAAAAAAAGGAAAATATCGTGATCTCTGTTCTTCCAGATAATAGAAATGATTGTCTAGTTTTTGTGCAAAATTTATTTAAATTAGCACTCTAAGCCATTTATATCAAGTTATATTTAATATATATTATTTTAAGTTGCCGACGGTATTTACATTTTTAATAAAATAGAAAAATATGAAAAATACAAAAGGACTTCTGATGCAAACGTTACATTTTGAAAAGCACTATAGAAGCGAGATTGCATGGCTTACATATTTCCAGCTCTAAATTTTTGACACTTTTTTGGAAATTTCACAAGAATTCCCAATAACTCAAGCGTGAAGACGATATGGTTCTTGTTATGACACGATATCTATACGTTCACTAAAAAGGTAGAACTTACTCCGGAGAAATGAATTTTAGACTAGAACGGAGATCTTGCAATTGTATGTCTGGTACGAAGGTATGCTCGTCGTTCGATTAAAACTATTTACAAAGAAGGAAAGACTCTACACTATCCTCAGTTCGTTGACATGTTTGGCGAAAATCTCCGATTTATTTGATATCCGCACAGAGAGTTCTCCGGAAAGAAGTGAGAAGCTCCGGATCCGCAATGTATTAGAAGGTGGTCATCCTCGTAGAAGAGGAGCATAGCACACTTAAGTTCGACGAGCGGAAGAGAAGTCGGCGCCTGCGAAGAGTACGGCAGCAGCATGGAATCAATCGAAGACGGTGAATAGATCGCACAGAAACGGATTACACGGGACACTGGTTCTTGGACTATGTGTTTTTGTACGATTTTCTCCTTGACAGTACATCCTAATTAGTCTTCATCTCTTCTCCTCACATTTGAATTAATTTGTGATTTGTTTTCTGGAGAAATTCGAGACCGAACCGGGCCACGAAAAATGTCGACTCTGGCATTTAATTCGCCGCCGATCTCCGATCCATACTGGAGATGTTTACTGATCAAGAATTGTGTCTTTGACAATTATTATTCCAAGGTATCAGTTGTTCAAGATTCCGATAACAAAAAAAAAAAAACAATTATTGTATTAACGAAGATTAATAATAATTTCAAAAACTCAAATTTTTTAAGTTTTTCCCCCTTTCTTCTTTTGCTCTTTTTGTCCTGTGGGCAGAGTTACAGAGTTAAGAAAGAAATGGCTGGACTCAGAGGTATAGCCATTTAGACAATAAGAGGAAGGAAGAATGTAGCGAGAAGGTAAGTAGATGAAGATTAAAGTAAGGGAGATAGGATAGTGGGAAGGGAAGCCCATGAGGTCTTGCATCGCATTTATTAAATTAGATCAGAATACAGATACAAATACAATTACAATGCAGAATAAGTGAATGTGGTACAATATAGCATATATACGCGACAATAATTACCGGTTTATTAGAGGACAAAAGACATTAAGCAAAAAATATTAAATAAACAGTNTAATAGTTTTCTGATCTACATTTTTAATGTTGCTTATAACTTTATTAAATTTTTATCAACTCAGTTATGATAAAAATGAATATCATATCATACCACATTAATATTTCTTTACATAAATAGTTTAAGTATTATAAAGTATCATTTCTTGGAAAAAATATATTCAAGTCATTTTAATATATTCTGTATATTTAATGTAAATAATTTGTAGTGTCAAGTATGACATTATATATATATACAAGTGCTCCCCACTTATGAACAGGTTAGATTTCTGAAGTTTAGTTGTAAGTTGATAACTAACCCAGAAAGTACAACTGTACACAGAATAACCATTTATTGTTAGTGTTTGCTTTTTCAATGTACTTAATAGGATACATTACACTTGTTTACCCACTTACTACTACCTAATAGCAGGTGTTTCAAACCTGATTTCTTTTACCTAATGCACTTAGTTTTATAATGTCCAGTTTAGTTACTATGGTAAAAGAGCAATATTTGCATTTATCTCTACTGCTAGATTAATTTACTATCATGTTTTGGAAGCTTTTTTGATGTACTAATTGTAAAAGTTTATAAAAATTGCAAACAATAGCAAAACAATGCTAATACTCCAAAGTTATCAACATAATGCCACCTCACAACAGGAATTGGAGCCTCAGAATTTACATGAAAATGAAAAATGACAATATGCAATAGAAATAAGCCCACATTAATTATTTATTAAAAATTTACTATTTATTATTGGCCAAAGACTGATTTCAATACAAACCTTTTAAGAAACAACATAAATTCAAAATCTGTGCAAAATTTACATTTTAAAGTACAGTCAAATTGTTCATAAGGAGAGTAGCAGCAGCTGTATGTATAATATATATATATATTTGATATTCAATATCATTTATTTATAAAACAAATTTCAATTTAAATGATATAACTCAATTAATACTTAGAGAAGTGATTCTCAACTGTGGATTGTGTTTTTTTCGTGAGATGCAAAACATTTTCTATGAGGAATGAAGAAATGTTTAAGTATTATTCTCATGTGGTCTCACTATTGTGTCTGATGGTTTCAGTTGAAGATGATTTATTTAATCAAAACAAAAATACATTTTCAATACAATAGATATTGTTATCAATTATGAGATTGCATAAACTCTTTGATAAACATTTGAGTGCATTTCCTTGTGAAGTAGCTAAGTGAGCAAACCAATGACATAGGTTGGTTTCATATGAAACAAACTACATCATTGGTTTGCTCACTTAGCTGCTTGATAAGGAAATGCACCCATGTTCTCATTTAAAAATTCTTAATCTTTCCTGTTTAGTTTATTGAAATTCTTCACAACAGTTGACTGCACACATTCCACAATTCTGGAAATTTTTGGTAATAAAATAACCTCCCCAAATACCTCAATGGTTAATTTCCTATTAGTTCATACATTTTTGCATCTTTCCATTTTTAAATGCACATTAAACAAGCATAAATACAAATAAAGATATTCCATATATGCATCTTTTGTAAATTAGTGTGTATGATGCAATCAGCAGCTGTGCTGATACAACAAGATTGACATAACTGCAATGGACTGTTACAGCAATAGCTTATCAATATTAAAATAACAAAGATTAAAATATGGCTTTTTTAAGAAAGAACTTAATGAAAAGTATTGGGTTATTTTATACTTTTCAATACTATTGTAATTTTTCTATTTTACTTTTTTTATTTTTTGAAAGAAAATATTAAAAGTAAAAAACATTTTTTCTTTAAATTTACTAAATAAATATATGTATAGATTTATTGTTTAGATCATGGAAATTAGTTAATGCTCAAATAGGGCCATGAAAAAGTCTGGGAACCACTACAATACAGTCGACCCCCTATAACACGGTAGATACGTTCCGTGTTATGTAATTTCCATGTTGTACGAGTCACTTAAATACATGAGCCAATCACAGCCCGACACGTGCACAGTTTAGGGACTATGGCTGTTTGAAAGGTTTTCTTCCATAAAATTAATTGATTCTAGACTAATTTGACTCAACATTTCCAAAATATGTATAATTTTTTGGGAATAATCCATATAAACTATGCTATAGATAAGAAATTGTAGGATTACTTACCAAGTGTGTACCGTTCGATGACGTCATTGCTTAAGCTNCATAAAGTTGCTGATTTTCATTAAAAATATATAAAAATGGATTATTTTCCAAATAACGATATTAATAAAATTTTAGTTATTTTTAATGTAAAAAGTTTTAAAAAATTAGATAAACAGACGATAACAAAATCTCTGCTATTTATTACCGTAAAGTGGCGCTTCGATAATTACAGAAGGAAGATGTGGATGCACTGACGAAGTTTTGTAAACTTTTCCCATTTGCAGAATGTGTGTCTTTTGCAGGTAACAGGTATCGAAGGATCGTGAATTTAGATGTATTTTAAGCAATGGATGCATCGACAACGTTCGTAGAAGAGATCGATTTTAAAGAAATAACATTAGATAAAGTAAGCCTAAATCATATTTAATATTTGATACGTTTCACGCGGATGTTGTCGCTAGAAGCTGCATGACAACAATAACAAACTTTTATATATTTTGAAATAGGAATTAATCGTCATAATTGTCGTTTATTTTACACGGATAACAGTTGAATGTATTTACAGTTTCATTTTTAAAATTGAAAGTATTTATTAACGAATTACTTTTAGTTCTTTAGGAAATTATTCAGTGTGCTACAACATTCGGAAAACGCTACGTAACTTTACAATGAAATAAGGAAATACGTAAATACAGCTTTGATTTGAATGACATCACTATTCACGTGGAATATTAATTATAGATTTAAGTTCCTTATTAATATGATGCCATTGTCTTCCCTGAGATTAAATCCTGAGTGCGCCACTGAAATTCAAATACCATGGTATTTGAATCGGTGGTGCACTCAGTATTTAATCTCAGGGAAGCCAAGTTGAACAGATGAAGACATTTTTAATGCAAATTTAATAAAATTCTTACCTAACATGGTACTGATTTGTAAGTAGTATTGGAAGACACAACACAATATAAATACAAAAGAATTTTAATTAGGAAAAAATTTTTGGGAAATTTTTTAGAGTTCTGTTTTATTTTTCCTTTGGAGGGTGCTGGACCTCTTTCCGTCATCTGGATGTGCCGCCGATTTGAATTATAATAAAGCTTGGCAAACATTTGAAAAGAGAAATTTTCTTGTGTTTATTTGTTAAAATTATTTTATTTTTGAAATTCTGTAGATAATAAGAATGTTTTGTGTTGTACTTATTATGGATTTAGCTACATCTTGATGCTTGATGATGCAGAGCTTGCCATATCTGGGATGACTTTGAAGTCTGGATCTCGTGAAGAGGTGACATACACTTTTGCTGTCTGACTAGCACAAGGGTGTCATTAGGATTTTGTCTCGGCAAAACATATGCAACTTAGATTAAGCAACCAATAGATTTACTAAAATCTTCTTAAACCAACTGTTTTTGTTTATACTGTTTCTATTTATTTTCTAGAGAATGAATAAAAAAACAAGCTAAAACTCCAATAATCTTATGAAACAATCATTGTAACATTTCTTTGAAATATTATAGTATCTGCGTACGGTTTAAAGAACTAAAGGATTCATCTTGTCTGTCACTGTCAATCTGTAAACAAAAAATCTGCACACAAATCAAACTGCTTAATTTTTACAATACATATATCCAGGAACAAAAAGTGACAAAGTTAGTTTTTTCCTGTCACTAAATTATGTAATCTGGTCCGTAGTTAATAGCTTTTCTGATTTCAGTCTTCATGCTAACTATTAGAATTTGAAAGTGCTCTGAATTAAATTGACACAGATTGGTCTTGATGCATTGTTTCAGTTCAGTTTCATTTTTGTTATATCTTCTATTTCAACCAGTGCCAGAATTGTTCAGTTCGTCTGCAATGCTGTTATCTTTGCTGACCTATTGGACTCCATATTCCTCTAGCATGGAAACTGTATCTGTTGTGTAATGTGCAGCTGCAAAGCCCAGCCAGAAGACATATAAAGTCCATTCAAGTGGTGTTTTTTGAGGAATGAGATCAGCCTCTTCTAATACTCTCCTTTATGTGCACTTCTTTGTTGATGGCTAGAGGATGCTTTTAAATTTAAATTTTACCTGTGGATCAAGCTTAATCCCATCCTTATAATAATATTGTTTCCAGTGCGTACATTTCTGTCAAATGTAAAATACGTCTGATTGTCCATTCTGTTTGAAATCTTGAAATCTTCCTTACACATTTTTCACAGCAGAGTCTTTTCTGACTTGATTTGTTTTTTATATCTTGGAACTGACTTTTGCTCCTGAAGGATAAAATTTTGCTCAACTAGAATGTTTCTAACTTACTGATGAGATATTTTGAACTTTCTTTCACATTTTCTTAGTGACTGTCCAACCTTTCTGATCACCTCTCTTTCCAAAGATTCCCTTTTACTGTTTGCCATTTTTGACAAGACTATGTCTTGTCTATAAAATCATACTGCCGTTTTATGTTACCAGCTTAGAGGTATGAAGGAGTACATGTCAAGAGTTGATATTTGGCACAGAATATTAGGTGCCCAAATCATTTGCGCATAAAAAAATTCAGACTTGTAGTTAGTCAGGGGACCGAGAACCGAGTCAAAATAAAATCCAATGCCAACCCTCTTCTATAAACAGGCAAAACAGGCACCTCACCCCACCGTAGTCAGATGGGGGAGAGTATCACCCACAGTCATTCTAAGAAGTTAACTCTGACTTAGGACTGAATACTATAGAAGAACGTAGTTTCTTCTATGTTAAATAAAACTTGTAATCTAATTTTGTAAATTTGGGAGTGCTTCAAATATGACGTTAAAACGGTTTTATGTTATTACAAGTAGGTTTTTTAACATTATCTTGTATAGTAAAATCGTGGGACCAACAAAAATTTGACGTTATATTAGGGTTGTCATTACATTCGATGACGTTATAATCGGGTTAAACTGTATATTGTTTGTGCAAAACAAAAAATAATTTTGGATGATACAATAGCCATGATTATTTTTTTCAAAAACAGGAAATTTTTGTTATGCATCGACAAAAATTCAACCCAGGCCGACATGCAATGAGAAATGGGAACACGCAACAGGAAATTTCGAAATTGGATAGGTTAATTTCATCGAAAATGCATCGTGGATGACCTCGTGGTCGTGGCAGGTAAAGTTTGAACAATCGTGCCCAAAAGCAGCGATACCAAAGAAGATTGGAGAATGAGAATGAGACCCGCCTTGAGCGTCAAAGTGATTCCACTTAGTAGTGGGTCTCTGAGACATAGTCTTGTCCCAAGCACAGCCTTGCCATTTTACTTGTTTTAATTCTCTTTCACCCACTCCCTGGACATCTAGCAACAGTCTCACTTTCTAGCAAACAATCTAGCACTTTCAGCCATTATGTGATATTGTACTTTTTTTAATTCCCATTACCACAAAATGCTTAACTGTAAAACTTTCATTTCCCCATTTTATTTGTAAAATTTTCCAACTACAATTTTTTGTTCTTCATTAAGCTGTATTTATTTACATATGTAATATTGTTGCCATGACAACATGGATTTAAAAATAGAGTCTGAACATCAACCTACACTAGCACATTTTCAAACAGATACCAAATATGCCTGCCAAAATTATGCAGATGTTTAGTTTACATACCTGTATAAAGAAAAATTTCTTATTGTCAGATTTTGAATGGATATACAAATTAAGGTGTACTTGTAGTATATGGTACTTGACATCAAAATGATGATTCCTATAAACTGTAAAACCCTTTTCATCTGTAAAAAATAATTTGGTAACAAAAATTAGAAATACTTTCTATTTCCATAAAATTAAATTTTAAAACATTTTGACTGCTGCTGTGATTAAGCAGAAATGGGAAATCAATAGCCAATAGAAAACAAGGATAGTGACATCTATAGACCATCATCATTGGCTGCATTCAGCATACTCAACAGTTTTAACTAAGTGATGATAATATAGTGGTTACTGTTACTTAATGGTAATGAATCTGCTTAGTGATGAATTACAACAATCTGTGATGAATTACAACTGCTTAGTGATGAATTACAAAAACGAAACCTTTTTTTACAAGTGTTATGTCCATAGTACACTCCACAAATGCTTTCGACCTCCACCGAGGTCTGCTTCAGGTGTTGACTGACTGTGTTTCCTCCTGACCGTCGTAGCGATGTCACCAGAGATGTAAATAATTGTGCGTGTCGGGTTTCACCCCTCCGACTGTTACTGTTTGAATTCCTCAAACAAATACCTCCATGCCTGTGCAATCGTTTCACCATCTTTGAAGTTGATGCAGGTGCCCCCACCATTAGCTTTATGAATTTCCCAGGCCTCCAGGTGTCAGATGTGATCAGTTCAAAATGCTTGTCTGATTAGTCTGGTGTTCTGGAAGTCCACCCTTATATCAGGGTTGGTAACGTAGGTCGATAAGGCGGTGGTGTGCCTGTTATTTTTAATATCTGCTTGATGTTCTTGTATCTGTTTTGTGTCAAGCTCGTATCCGTTTTTGTGTGGATTGTTATTATTCAATGCAATGTTAAGTTGTTGGAAGTCATTTGTCAATGAATTACAAGTTAATATGATGCTACAAGAGTTGCTGCTTGTTTACAAAAACTTTAAAATTAATATAGTTTACTTCATCAAATGTTTTTAAGTTTTATTTTGCATATTTCTGTTCTTAGTTGATGATAACTGTTTTTAAATAGATTAATTAGTACTGTAATGTGTGCTTTTATACGTGTAAATAATATATACTTCAGTGCTATCTAGATGAAGCCATTTTTGATCAGTTATAGCTACACAAAGTTAGTGTAAATGAAATCTGCTACTAAATGTGAAAATACAAAACATTCCAAAACAGTGCTGCTGTTGAGAGTGTTCAGCAGAAAAATACTCAATAGCTCCGGAACTGTTCACTCTGTACACAACCATTGTGATATCTGTAGATCAGTTTGACAGACATGACAATAAATTGTTGACTGCTTACAAGAAACATGATTGTGCTACTATATTAGAAGACTTTTCAATATCAGTGATACTTAACTTTCAAAAACTTGAATAAAAAAAATAATAATTTAGTTATTTTTAGAATAAACTAATATGCATGGTTGTGAAGACATAAAATCAACAATAAAATTGTTTGACAGTGTTTTTGTCCATGTGATCAGTTAACTTCTGTATGATTTCTTTCAAATACACATCAATATACTAAGTGTTTATGAATAATTAAATATGGGAAAAGCAAACTATTTGTATAAGGGAAGTATAGATAATAGTATAAAAATAGAAAATGTAAAACTTACAGTATGTGGCTATTATAAATATTTAGGAGTAGAATTAAGCCAAGATAGGAGAGATAATTGAGCAATAGGAAACAGGAAAAAATAAAAGCAGTTTAAAAGGCTGAATAGATTTTGATTGAATGCCAAATCTGAGAAAGAAAATATAATATAGTTATGTAATGCCGTAATGAGAAGTACATTATGTATATGGAGCCAAAATATAGGGAATATTTAAAAACAGATGAAAGAAAGTGTAATTAAAATGGATGGATTGACTGACTATACATTTCATTCATGTGCAAAATAAAAAGAGAAGTAATAAACATAAAGGAATTGATTGTTGATGAAATAAAAAGAAGGCAGTTGATATGGTGTGATTATCTATGGAACAGAAACCACAAAAAAAAAAAAAAAAAAGTGAGAGTAATATTAAGAAGGGCCAGTAAAGAAGGTATATGAAAAATGATGGAGGAGAGAGAAATTAATGAAGAAATATAAGTTATATGAATAGAGCCACATAAAGAATTGGCATATATATTTTTCTTTCTAGTCCACCTGACTACTACTACATTCTTCTCAGCTAGTAAAAGTTTCTGCGGAGAACACTGCATCTTTCAGGAGATGCAATTGCCTCTCTTCAAAGATGCATGCCTCTCTCTGTAGATACATTATTATGATGTATTTTCTACAGTTATTTTTGATCATTTTGTTGGAAAAAACTTTTTACTGTTTAGAATCAAGGTAAAAAACTATTATCTATCTTTAAGAGCAGTTTTTTTAAGTATAACAACAGATAAGGTACATCCATTTGTCGTTGTACAGATTATTTTTATCAAGTAAAATCATACATAACTAACTGGTTATCATATTTCTAAAATTATGAATTACAAATTCACTAAGTGAATTTTAACTTCATATATCTTAAAAATATAATGCAGCTTAAGTGTAATACATTTCTAATGCTAGACAATTCCAATTTCATTATTCTGTTTGCAATAGAAATTATATATCAAATAATAAAACAACTCTTAGGTCTCACTGCTTTGTTTCTTTGAAAGTCAATACAGAAATAATTTTTATTCTTATTTCTGAGAAGTTGTCTGTAGGATTTCACATCTCATTCTAGTTATATTTTGACATTAATTATATGTGAAATGAAAATAAAAGTAAAGTAGTATGTATGTGTGTTGTATCTGCATGTAAATTCATTTCATAACTTTTTTTTTTTTTTAATGAAATTTTTTATTTTCGTCTTAATTTTTGTAGGATTTCAGTTTAATGTTCCTGTTAATTCTGTTTTCTCAACTTCATTTTTTGAAAAATATAAAATAAAATTATTTTAAAGCTAATTTAGTAAAATACATAAAATATTTTTGTGTGTAAAGAATCATTTTTATTATTTATTTAATTAGAATACTCTTCTTTGTAATAAAGTTTGATTATGATATTTTGTTTATTATTATATTAATAAGTATTAAATTTTATCAAATTTACATTATAAATTACCATATTTCTTAAATCTATATTCTGTAATTATTCTACTAATTAAGCATAAAATAAATGCACAATTGCAATAGTTGTCAATGAAATCATAACAAATATTTTATTAATCAATACATTTTCATTTCAGTTTTTAATTAAATTTTAAAAAATTATTAGTTAAGAATTTGTATGTTAAAGATTTTTTTTAATAGTCTATCTAATCAATTATTTTCATTTATATGCAATTGACCTAATCTGTATTCATATCATTGTATTGCACAGTTTAGATGATCTTATGTCATTGATTTTTATAACCTTGAAACTATATTCCTGAATGGATCTCATAATTTTGAGAAAAATTAAAATTTTGTAAAATTTCTGTTCAAATATAACATATTTACATTATACACTATATAAGTGAATTTCATACCTTTTTTCAAATTCAATATTTTTACATGAATATACCAAAGATATTTTCATTAAACCCCCATAAACTCAGACTTTGCATAACTTGGACAATTTTTTTTTTTTTTTTTGAAAAATTATACAGTAATTTAAAATTTCTTGACAATAAAAAAATTATGGTTAATAAATGCTATTGATATTTGAAAGTCTGCATTATCATACATTATATTACTGTCATCAGTAAGTTATTAAAGATCATACCATACATTATTTATACAGAGCTGTCATGAAATTTTCTGAGCTCATTTCTTATAATTATAAATTCAGCAATATAATCTACTGAAGCCCAGCAAAACTTTTATATTGAGTTGATTGTAATAAATTACTGTACTCTACAATCACCTTCTTATTTGTACCTACAATCACCTTCTTCTAAACTTCTGAGTTAGTGGGGTATTTTTTCCAATACCCCACTAACTCAGAAGTTTCATAAACTCTGACAACCTTTATCCCCCCCTATTGGTCTGAGTTTGCTATATACTGCTATACTAAAATTTATTTTTATATTTATTAATTACAATCAATTTACTCTTATTTTATTTACATTACAGAAGAATGTGTTGATTAATTTATTAATTTATATGATAATTTACAACAAAAAAAAATTAATTCTACTTTATAAGTATTTCAAAGTTAAATAATTATATATTTTAAACAATTTTTTTCATTATTTATATGAATAAGAAGTTATGTAGTCTTATGAAAAATTTAACATATATAAATGTAATTTTCTTATCTAATGATTAGAATAAATAGTTATTACTTTATTATTATTAAGGGTAATTCATATTAAATACATTATAATTGGTAATAATTAATTGTGCTTTTATTAATAAAAAAAATCATATAAAATTTATTACAGGTAGTTGGTAAAGGCACATATGGTTTAGTAAGAAAGGGAAAATGGAGAGGAAAGGATGTTGCAATAAAACAGATGGAGACGGAAAATGAAAAACAAGCATTTTTTATTGAGGTAAATTTTTTTATAAATGTTTAATTTCTTTATAAATATGTAGTAGTTTTAAATGATGGAATTACATTAAATATAGTTTAATAAATTTTAGCATTTTAAAAATAATGCTAATTATTTTTACAATGTTAATAAAAATTAAGAAATAGTTTATTAAGTGTATATTGATTGTAAATTTTGTGTGAGTGAAGTAAGGAATACTGTAGTAAGTGAAGGAAATGTTACATGAAAACAATCTATTTTTTTTATAATAATTTTGTTTTTTTCTTTATGTATTTCATAGTGTAGGCTGTACCAAATAATTTTGCTGATATATGTCTTACACAATCATTTTGGATCATAAATAACAAGTGGTATGATATATAACTGTTATACATATTTTAAAATATTTAAAAAAAAAAAAAAATCACTGAGAAATGTTACGTGTGTTTAACAACGGGTTCGGAAAACTTTGAAAATCTTAACAACGGGTTCGGCCGAACCTGTGCGAACCCGCTGAATATCACCACTGCCTGCACCTAATTTCGAGGGTGGGAGAAGTGCCCGGGATGGGTTCGAACGAGAGTTTAGATTAATTCATTATATTAGGAGGTGGAAACGTTGTTGAGATGGGTTCTTACAATAGTTTAGACCAGCTACATTCGCGAAAGTGGTCGCTTATTACAGTTGTTGTATGTTGTTTCGAACCAAAAATCGATGCCTGCGGTCGCGTTACACGGGTGGTCGTTTAATACAGGTAACTTATACGAAGACTCTACTTGTATGTATAAACTATTCCGTGCCAGAAATTTTTGTCCGTTTTGACAGATGCCCGTCGAATGCAGGTGGTCTCCTAAGCAGTTTTCAATGTATTTATATTTTAGAAAGTATAATTTGTATATAATTACAAATTATAGAAAATATAATTTGTAATTTAAAAATAAAATATAAATGTATTTATATTTTAGAAAATATAGGCGGCGCTTCCACAGCTTCCATGGGCGGCACGCCACTGTGCAAGAGTTTATTAAATTTATTTGAATACGATTATACAGATGAATGTTGCTTAGGCTGCAAGAGATGGAGTTTATGATATAAATTTAGCGAACAATGATAATTATTTATATACAAATTATAAATAAAATGATGCCGAATAGAATCTCTTAACAGTCTTTAAAAATTTATTTAGTCTATAATCTTAATTTGTTTGAAAACTCTGCTGGAGAGAAAATTTATAAACAAATTGCAATTATTCAACA